AGCGCACGCATCCACGCTGGAGCTGACAGGGCAGCACCTCATGTGCCCTAACAAATGGCTCCACGTGCTACCTGTGGCACGCGTGCCATAGGTTCACCATCCCAGGTTTAGAGTCTCCTGCTTGACTAAGAGACCTCCAAGGTCCCCTTCTGCTCTTTTATTCTGTTATAATTAGGCATAGGTAGAGTGAAAGCAGGAATCCTGTTTAACACATAGACAGATGTTGGCTTGACAGCAGCTCTTGTGAGGTCTACATGGAATGGCAATTAAGGGCTAGCTAGCTAGCTTAATTATTGTACTCAGGGTCTGCTCAGCAAGTGAACACGGCCACAGGGCTCAGTTCTGGATCCTGAACTTTTTAATCTTTTGATTAATGAAGTGAATGAGAAGGCAGAGGACGCGCTCATCAAATCTGTAGATGGCACTCAATTGGTGAGGGAGATCAAATGCCTTGAAACACTGAAATCCATCCCTGGAGAACAGAAGGGACAATAACAACAGGATTAAATTTACCAGAGACAAATGCAAAATGATTCATTTTAGAAAAGGACGACAAATGCTTAGGCATGGAATGAAGGGATTTCTGGCTGGGCAAAAATACTTGTGAAAAAGAGGCTGAAAAGATAATTATTTACAGATTTTTTTTTCTTAAAAAAAAAGAGCCATATGGTGAAGAAGGAAATGCAGTTTTAGGCTTCAACGGAAACATAATTTGCAAAGTACAGGAAGGAATACTTCCTCCCCCTCCCCCTTTTTTTAAACTGTTTTTTCCTGCTGTGTCCCACTCTGGGTGCCAGAAAAACTAGATTAGGTTCAAAAAAGGATAATAGAGACAGCCAAAGCCCTTTTAAAAAAAAAGTCCTATGAAATTAAGGGCATGGAGACTAAAGTGTACGAAGAATGGTTGCAAGAATTCGGTATAGTTAGTCTAGAGAAAACAAGGAGTAGGGGGTAACATAGCAACATCCTTGAGGGACTACAACAAAGAAGAGAAGGTCATCCTATTTTCCAAAGCACCAGAAGGGAAGACAAGAAACAATGGATGGAAACTAATCAAGGAGAGAGAAGCAACTTGGAATTCAGGAGAAACTTCCCGAGAGTGAGAATAATTAGGCGGTGGAACGACTTCAGAGGTTGTAGGTGCTCCAACACTGAAGGTTTTTAAGAGGAAATTGGACATCCACTTGTCTAAAAGGGTAATAGGGTGTCCTGCTTGAGCAGCGGGCTGGACTAGGAGACCTCCAAGGTCCCTTCCAGCTCAATTCCGATTGATCTTTTATTTTATTTATAGCTTTATTGATTAGCCTATAGGCCATATCAAAGCACAAGGTTCAAACACGTATCACCAATAAAATCCCATACAAGCAATTTAAAATAAGAGTAGGGTGAAATACAATAGTTATAGGATACGATACAATAGAATTTAATACATAAATATATACAATAGAATAAAATGGCATAAAACTATATTTCGGTGTCACCCTTACAATTTACCCCATCAGTCCCACGGATGCAGATTTCAACCGGACCATTTTGTTTAAGCACTGTGCTGTGTTAAATGTTATTTTCAGGTTCTGGCTGCACATCAAGTAAGGTAGTTTTTTTTTGATATGGTGATCCCAATGGTTCATTTGTTTGGTATATGGACCAAGGTTGCTGTCTCTCATCCCTTTGTACACATCAAATAGGATGTGAGCCAGGTCTTCTACCTCTGCAGAGACTCATTGTGGGATACAGAATGTCTATTCCGATTGATCGATTGATTGATTTGAAAAGACTTTGAAAGAATTGGTAATGACAGAATAACAGGTAACGTGTGTGCAAGAACTGATATCTATTACTCCTGAATGCAGGATACACAACAATGGATCACAAGAAAAAGGTTTCAACTGAATATTAGAAAAAAAATGGGTTACGGTATGAGGAGCTGGATGGTAGAATCTGTTCCCAAGAGAAGCCAACTTTTCATTCAAAGTCTTCAATCAGATGGTAGACAGCTGTCACTCAGTGCTGCTTCAGTGTCAACCTGGAAGCTGACCTGAATGAAGCCATTTTGAAGTTTCACTGTTGCCACACTGGAGCTGAGGGATAGGGAGGGGCATAATACAGACAGCTGGGGTTTTGTAGCCAAAGCAAAATACTCTCTCTTGGGAACCAAGGACATTCTCACACCTGGTCAGAGGGAGGAGGAGTGATGTTACCTGGCAACCGGACGACACCCTGATTGGACCGTGTGTGTGACTGATTGTTTGGGGAAAGGGGAAAATGTTTACTTTTAATTAGGTTAAAAACCGTGGGAACCTTCAGAGTCGGTTTTCACCAGATCTGTGCCAATATGGTATGTCCTAATAAAACTATTCTTCCGGTCTTTTTGGTTTTTCTTTGAAGATGTTTCACTTCTCATCTAAGAAGCTGAAGGTCAGAGTTGAAGAAGCTTCTTGGATGAGAAGCGAAACATCTTCAAGAAGAAAAATCAGAAAGTCCAGTTGCTTAAGCCAGTTGCTCCCTGTCCATGGAGATTCTCAGTCATCCAGGTCATGGTTGTCCCAAAGGTGCTTTTTTCAAGAGGACTTTCTTCAGCTCCGATTGGATGAATGGAAATCCCTCTGTTCCCCATCACCCAGTCAGAGCCGAAGAAGCTTCTTGGATGAGAAGCGAAACGTCTTCCAAGAAAAATCAGAAAGTCCAGTTGCCTTGGGTAGTTGTTGTTAAGTCACTACAGTTGTGTTTAACTCTTCACAACCCTGTGGACCACAGAATGCCAGTCGTCGTCCCTCCATCTTTCACTGCCTCCTGGAATCTGCTCAATTTCATGTTCATTGCACCAATGACCCCATCTAACCAACTCAACATCCTCTGCCGTCTCCTTCTCCTTCTGCCTTCCATCATCCCCCAAGACCGGGGTCTTCTCTGAGGAGTCCTCTCTTCCCATTGGGTGGCCAAAGTATCTGAGCTTCAGCTTTCTCTGGTTAGCTACCGCTTAAATGTACATGGGAAGCGGTGGCTCAGTGGCTAAGGCGCTGAGCTTGTTGATCCGAAAGGTCGGCAGTTCGGCGGTTTGAATCCCTAAGCGCCGCATAACGGAGTGAGTTCCCGTGACTTGTCCCAGCTTCTGCCAACCTGGCAGTTCGAAAGCATGTAAAAATGCAAGTAGAAAAATAAGGACCACCTTTGGTGGGGCGGTAACAGTGTTCTGTGCATCTTCGGCGTTTAGTCATGCCGGCCACATGACCACAGAGACGTCTTCGGACAGCGCTGGCTCTTCAGCTTTGAAATGGAGATGACCACTGCCCCACAGAGTCGGGAACGATTAGCACATAGTATGTGCAAGGGGAACCTTTATCTTTTTAAATGTACACGTGCTTTCTTTTAGAGAAAACAAGCTTTTTAAAAAAAATAGAAATCACAGTATCATTTGTGTTTGGATGGAGCATAATCTTTTTTTATATTGTTTATTTATAGATTTTTTCCTTCTTTAAGCTACATAGATGCTTAATGAACAGTGTATTGTCTGTATCTATTTGTTCACACAAAGTATTAATAATCTGCTCGTGAAAGTAATGTTCATAATAACAACCATAATTAAAATACTAATAGTTGCTTCTTTGTGATAAAACTCGTACATCATTTACTTATAATACACATTAATGCTAATACTGGTAAAATAATAATACTGATAATAACAACTATAGTACTAATACTGATATTTTCTTATATATAATACAATTTGTTAGATTCTTTTCTTATATACATATTATTAATCTTTCATCTTCTAATTTCCAACCGTTGAGAAAAGGGTTCAACCATTAGGAAATATTCTGTTTCTTCCTTATAATTAATGTTAATCTGCACTATCTAATATTTTTCTAATTATACTTTCATCTCTAGGTATATCTTCATTTTTCCAGTGTTGTGCAAATACAATTCTCTCTGCTGTCAACACGTCTATAATTAAATATGTAGTCCCTTTGTTATAGTTTTCTGGTAATATACCTAACAAAAATCTTTCTGGTTTTAGATCTATATGTTGTTTTATCATTTTGGATGGATCATAACCTTGAACTTGTGTAACACTTCCAAGACAAAGAAGTGGGAAGGGCTCTATCCAACAATAAAATGGATTTTAAAAAGAAATAAATAAATAAAATTGAATTTCAGGTAGTCCTCGACCACAATTGAGCCCAAAAGTTCCATTAACTAAGCCAGACAGTTGTTAAGTGAGTTCTTCCTTGTTTCACGCCTTTTCTTGCCACCGTTGTTAAATGAATCGCTGCCGTTGCTATGTTAGCAGACTGTTGTTAAGTGAATCTGGCTTCTCCTTTGACTTCACTTGTGAGAAGGTTGCAAATGGCGATCACGTGACCTCGGGACACTGCAACCGTCATAAATACGAACCACTTCCCAAGTGTCTGAATTTTTGATTACATGACTGCAGGGATGCTGCAACGGTTGAGAGTGCGAATAACGGTCACCGGTTGCTTTTTTTCAATGTCGTTGTAACTTCGGTCACTAAATGAATGGTTGTAAGGCGAGGACTACATTTAATCAAAGAAAGCTCAATTGACTATTCCTCTCTATCTAATAAAGTCCCCACTCTGTTTTTAAAGAAGTTGTGAGGTCTACAACTCAAGGCTTTGAAAGCAGTAGTGGGATTCAAAGTTTTTTGCTATCGGTTCTGTAGGCGTGGCTTTGTGAGTGTGGTATGGCTTTGTGGGCGTGGTGTGGCTTTGTGGGCGTGGCAGGGGAAGGATACTGCAAAATCCCCATTCCCTCCCCACCCCACTAACCTGCTTTTCAGCTCCGTTCTACTGTTCAGGGCAACAAAAGAAGATCAGCTGGGATGCTGGGAGTCAGCAGGGGCGCGGCCAGCCTGTTTGCCGGTTCTCCGAACTACTCAAAATTTCCGCTACCAGTTCTCCAGAACCTGTCAGAACTGGCTGAATACCACCTTCTGTTTGAGAGGCTGCCCCTTAAAATGAACCCTATCTTGTGGACTTTACCTTTGTTGTCGTGCCAGATCCGCACTTTGCAGAGATCCCCGAGACTGAAGATGTCAGGAAAATAGAAGACATCCAGCTGGTTCTTTTCAAACTTGTTGGACCTGTTTGATTCCTTCAAAGCCAAGGTCCCACTGTCCCCGTTCTCTCCCCAAATAATCATGGAGACATTGGCATCGGTTCCAGCACCTGCAAGGGAATCAGTGAGAAGAGAAACGGCCCTCAGAAGACATCTATGGAGCTTCTCCATCATCCAGGTTGTCCCAAAGATGCTTTTTCAAAAGGCAACTGTGTCAGAGAATTTATGACTGGCAGAGACAAGGTAACAAGGTCAGCCAATGAATAGGGCTTAGTAACAAGGTCAGCCAATGAATAGAGCTTAGTAACAAGGTCAGGCAATGGGTGCCGAGACAGTAAGGAGCCTGGGCGTGGCTTAGCTGTGCTAAGCTCTGAGAACTGAAACTGAAACTAGTCTGCTGCTGGAACTGAAACCAATCTCTCCTCTATACCGCGTTGGAAGAACCACTCTTAGTTTCAGGCCTGCAGCCATCTTTTCTGGTGGATCTCAGGCCTGCCACACTTTCTATTATTCTACTATGCATTTTCTATTGTGGGAAAATGGGAGGGGGGATTGTACAGAGTGAGATGCGATGTAGCCATAACAAAATTCTTTCTAGAAAGCCAAGGTCATCCTTTGTCTCTGCACTNAGAATAGAATAGAATATCAGTTGATAGTCAAGGTTACAAATAAGCTATCAAATCGTACTAGGAAACAAATAAAACAATATAAATATGTAAAGATACAAGCAACATGGTTATAGTCATAAGTGGGAAGAGATAGATACTAGGAAGGAAGAGAAGAATAGTAGTAATACATTCTTAGTAAATTATTCACAGTGTTGTGGGAATTAGTTGTTAAGCAGAATGATGGCATTCGGGGAAAAACTGTCAAGTGCTATTACTATTGCTACTGACTTATTAACTGCAGGGATTTGCTTAACAATGGAGGCAAGAAAGGTTGTCTCACTGAACAACAGAAAGATTGGGCTCAGCGGTGGTCGTAAAGCAAGGACTACCTATATTGTCATGGACCCGAAACCAGGAAAGCACAGATGGGTGTTCCATGTATCTGCCTAGCAACCAGAATGAGCAGGCCGAAGCTTTAATTGGCTTCCCTATCTTTACTTAGCGCTGGTAGTGTACCATCTGTGCGCTACCCCCACAATGACGTCCGTATGTCTATGTTCTGATGTGCCCCCACTCGAAATTGATGTGAGGCCAGATCAGTTTTCACACTACGGTTTCTGAAACCTACCAAGATACAATTCGGAGTATGGTTATTTCATGGGTTTGGGAGGAGCTGTCGTGCTCCAGAATCTCATGGGTCCAGATCAGGGGTGAGAAACCAGTGGGCTGTTTATATTCTGACCCGGGTCCCAAACACGACAAGCCCTTTGTAGATAACGAAACGTTCCCTTTATTAGGCATTCCAGTTGTCTGCCACACCTATTCATCTCCACCCCCTGTCCCTTATCCACAGAACTAGGGTGGAGCTTCGCTAGCAGCGGTGGCCCTTCCGTCCCAAGGACCGGCCCATAGATTTCCACTAATCTCCTCTCCTCTGCCTTCTGCACATCCGTGTGTCAGAAGGGGGGGGGGGGCTACATTTTCTCTGTCAGAAGGCTGCAGGAGGCCGTCACAGCCAAAAAATGGAACCTCAATGAATGATGCCAAGCTGGCTACAACCACCCCGGAAATGCCCATCTTGGCCACGCCATACCCCCCAGCTCGCCCACAGTTCAAACACAATCCTGATGTGGCCTTCAATGAAATCAAGTTTGACACCCTGGACTAGAAGACCTCCAAGTGGTGGGTTTCTCCCGATTTTGGCCNGCCTACCCAGCTGGTCATTAGGGCAGAGGACCGGTTGTTAAATTATTTGAATCCCACCACTGGTCACGAGATCACTTTTTTGAGACCTTTTCACAAGGAAAGTCAACGGGGAAGCCAGATTCACTTAACAACAGCATGATTGTGGGTTGTAACTTCGAATGGTTACTAAATAAATAAGCAAAGGACAACCGGTGTTTATCAATATGGAGATGGAAGAGTTTTGGCTTATGCAATTCTTTCCATTGTCAATCGAGATTGACATCTTAATGCAACCCTGGGATTGATGCATTCCACATTATAATGAGTACCCCTACTATCCATCCATCAATCCAGCGATGCCCCTACCCACCCACACCCACACCCACACATTTAACTGCAGCTAGTCCTCATTTTACAACAGTTCAGTTAGTGACCGTCCAAAGTTACACTGACAAAAGTGACTTAGGGCCAAAAGTCTGTGGAGATTCTCAGTCCTCCAGGTCATGGTTGCCCCCATGACTTTTTTCAGGAGGCAACTGGACTTCCTTGTTTTTGTTTTCTTTTGAAGACATTTCACTTCTCATCCAAGAAGCTTCTTCAGTTCTGACTGGATGGTGGGGAATGGAAGGATTTATATTCCTTGCAAGACAGCTGGTCATTTGCATCCTTTTAGCAAGTGGTTGAGGCCACTTGGGAGGGTTGTCTGGGCCCTCAAGGACACCTGAGTGGTGCTCCTGGTTTCTGTAATCTGAATTTTTTTCCCCTCTGGAAATTCATTCCTACTCCCACACTATTCAAAGTTAAACCTCCAAGTCAGTGGTGGGTTTCAAAAATTTTTGGAACCTCTTCTGTAGGTGTGGCCTGCTTTCCGGGTCCACTGGTGGAACCTCTTCTAACTGGTCTGGTAGATTTGATGAACTGGTTCTACCGAATAGGTGCGAACTCGTAGGAACCCACCTCTGCTCCAAGTGCTTCAACGACCCTCTAAAACAGTGGTTCTCAACCTGTGGGTCGGGATCCCTTTGGGGGTCGAACGACCCTTTTACAGGGATCGCCTAAGACCATCAGAAAACACATATTTTTTTAAAAAAATATGGAAAACANCTTGGGAGTAAGGCCACAGGTGGATGGTGAATGGCCCCTCCCATAGGGAATAAAAGAGGAGCGAAAGGGGAGTGGAGTTTGCAGGAGACAATTAGTTCATTCCTGCATTCTTGCCAAGTATTGCGGAGTCTGAAAGATATCGGCCTGGCCACTCTCCAAGCCTGACAAAGGTTGGTAATTGGGAACTATCTTGAAAGACTGTGGGGGAGGAAAGACTTAGCTGGAGAGGAATTCACTGTCAATTAAATAAAAGGGGTTTATCAGGATGAGGACTCGGCTTCATGCTGCTGGGGAAGCCTAGATCAGAACAGGTAGTCCTTGACTTAGGACCACAACTGAGGTCCAAAATTTCTGTTGTTAAGTGAGACAAATGTTAAGGCAGTTTTGTCCCATTTTACGACCTTCCTTGCCACCGTTGTTAAGCGAATCACCGCAGTTGTTCGTTTAGTCACATGGTTGTTAAGTGAACCTAGCTTCCCCCTTGACTTTGCCTCTCAGAAGATCGCAAGAGGGGAATCACCTGACCCCGCGACACTGCGACCGTCACAAATATGAACCAGTTTCCCAGTGGCCAAATTTTGATTGTGTGACGATGGGGATGCTACAATGATTGTAAATATGAAAAACGGCCATGTCACTTTTCCCAGTACGGTGGTATCTTCGACCGGCTACAAAACGAATGTCCTGTAAGTCAAGGACTACCTCTAACGGGGTGACAATAGAATTGTGCATGAGGGTCTTCAGTTCCCAGGTATTTTCAATATGAACGCACCTCCGATATTGCTGGTTTTCACCTGAATGACGTACGTCGTGTCTTCAATCATCAGCTCATCATTGATCATCGCTGCAATCTCACACTCGAGGGTCAGATTGTCCCCCCACTGTTTGGAGAGCCAGTCATTGTAGGTAAACGTGGCAACCTCTTGAGTGGACAGGTTCTTCACGGTGACCTAGGAAAAACCACCAACCGAATGAATTCCAGCTGCAGGCGAAACTACACAACCCAGACGATGAGGGGACTTGAAGGTTAAAACGTATAAAGCATGGTTGATGTCTAGTTCAGGGCTCAGCAGCCTGCGGCTCTGGAGCCGCATGTGGCTCTTTCATCCCTCTGCTGCGGCTCCCTGTCGCCGGTCAGCTCCACAATTGATGGGGCTTTCAGTTAGGACAGGTAGAGGGAAAAGGATGCCGTGCTAGGAGGAGACTCTATGGTGGGGGAAGCGGACTTTTGGTTGGCTCCAGAATTGAATGGGGGAGGGGCTTCCAATTAGGACCTTTGTGGCTCTTTGAATGTTTAAGGTTGCCGACACCTGGTCAAGTTTAATGAAAAGAAGGACTAGGGGAGACATGATAGCAGTCTTCCAGTATCACAGGGGCTGCCACAAAGAAGAGGGAGTCAAGCTATTCTCCAAGGCACCGGAGGGCAGGACAAGAAGCAATGGGTGGAAACTAATCAAGGAGAGAAGCAGCCTAGAAATACAGAGGAATTTCCTGACAGTTAGAACAATTAATCAGTGGAACGGCTTGCCTCCAGAAGTTGTGAATGCTCCAACACTGGAGGTTTGCAAGAAGCAATTGGACAACCATTTGTTTGAAGTGGTATATGGTTTCCTGCCTGAGCAAGGGGTTGGACTAGAAGACCTCCAAGATCCCTTCCAACTCTGTTATTCTCTTCTCTTCTGTTTTGTGGCAAGGAGGTACTCTCCAAGAAAATGAGGATACAGGTGCTCCTCAACTTAACAATCATTCATTTAGTGACTGTTCAAAATTACAGCAGCACTGAAAGCAGTGACTTATGACTGTTTTTCACACTTACAACTGTTGCAACATCCCCGTGGTCACATGGTCAAAATTCAGATGCTTGGCAATTGGCATTTATTTATGATGGTTGCAGATTCCTGGGGTCACGAGCAGTGATGGGATTCAGCCGGTTCGCACCTATTCGGGAGAACCGGCTGTTAACTTTCTAAGCAGTTGGGAGAACCGGTTGTTGGAAGAAATCTCCTTTTGGTTTTTCCCCACTTTACAGGGCTAATCCTGTAAGGAAGGCAGAAAGGAAACATTCTGGTGTTGTTTCTAGCNCTTCTTCTCCTCCCCCTCCCCCTCTTCTTCTTCTCTTCCTCCTCCTCCTTCTTCCTCCTCCTCTCCTCTTCTCCTCCTCCTCCTCTCCTCCTCCTCTTCTTCTCCTCCCCCTCCTCTCCTACTCATCCTCTTCTTCTGTTCCTCTCCCCTTCCTCTTCTTCTCTTCCTCCTCCCCTCCCCCTCCTCTCCCTCTATTCTCTTTTTCTCCTCCCTTCCCCCTCTCCTCTTCCTCTCCTCCTCCTTCTCCTGCTTCTCCTTCTCTTACTCCTCTCCCACACTACAAATCCACACTGTACAGTTTCATAAATTATTACGAAGCCCCCATTCCTATTTCCAGAAATAGCTGATCATTTGTTTCCGAGGAGCTCAGAAATAGGGCAGGTAGGGTACAGCTAGCAAAACAATGGCTTAACTTAAGTAAGCATCAGGAATGAATGGAGTTATAAGCTGTGTTTGCAGAACATGGTTAATTAAGGACCAAATGAAACAACTTTCTGGATTCCTACAGGATGTAAAATTAAAGTAATTCTAACTGGAATATTATAAATGCACAACATTAAACTAAAACTGGAACATTATAAATGCATTTGCTGGAAGTAACTGTAGCCCAAGGAAGAAGTGGGGGATTTAATGCTTGAAGAGAGAATCTCGGCCTTTTCAACGACTTTCAATTTTTACATCATTTGATAAGCACTGTCAATATTTGAGATTAATATCTGCCAATATTTCAACTTGAGCTGGAGCAAAATATATCCTCCAACCCATCCAGAGGACTTAAGAGAAAAATCCCTGAAGAATTTCAGTCTCTCTCAGCTACTGAGATCTCCTCCAAAGCTTGACACATCCTTAGTTTTATATCAGGTTTTGTCTCAAGCAAAATTCGAAGACTCGGAATAAAACCCAAGAAGCCCCCAAAGCATTTTGATAAATTTCTCCAGGGCTATTTCCATTTTCCAAAGATCATGGTGGTTTTGCTTCTAAAGCTAATACACAGTGTTGTGGCCTGCAAGGGGCCAGTGAAGCTGGTGGCAGACCCAGGCAGGGAGGAGGTTGGGGAGGAACATGGGCCAGTCCTGGAGNGGATGCTATTAGGAACCCTGACACTTGGCATTGTATATATGTCTCGTGTGTTATATGTATATAAAGAGAAGTTAATGAATCCTGCTGCATCAGTTACCTCTGGATTTGATTTCTGCAACAAACTCTTGACAAACTGGAAGTTCTTAGTTATTTTTCCTTGAAATGAAGCTTCTTGGATGAGAAGCGAAACCATTTCAAAGAAGGGGGGAAAAACCAAGGAAGTCCAGTTGACTTTTGGAAAAGGATCTTAGGGGCATCAGGAGATGTTCATGCTGGATGAGGGAGCTGCAAGTCTATAGACAGAAATTAATAGGATGGGATTCTCATTTAATGTAGAATCCACAAAAGGTTTGAAGCACCGTCTCTAGTTGCCCATTTTGGACTGTTGATGTAATTCTTCTCTGTTAAGTAGGCAACTCTGTACATTTCAGCAGTGGATTGGACAAGTACGTCTCAAAAAGAGAAGAAGACTCCAGAGACCACCCTGCATGAAACAGACTGAGGGCCTTGCTAGCTACAAGTGAATTTAGACCAGACAGTTTTCCTCCTGGTTCAAGATCTGTCCAGTCTATTAGCTTCAGCACAGGGGGAACTGAAAAAGCTGCTGTCCAAAGGCGGCAGATCAAAATTAAGTTATCTTCTTCCTATTGATTTCTTTCTTCCCTGCGGCTCAGCAACATCTCTGAAGTCGCTTTCAGAAATACAAAGGATGGTGGCAACCGTATCCTATTACAGGCCCATCCAACTAGTAAACCTCTTCTCCTCCTCCTTCTCTCCTTCTTCTCCCCCTCTTCTTCTCCTTCTTCTTCTTCTCCTCTCCTCCTCCTCTTCTTCTCCTCCCGCTCCCCCTCTTCTTCTCCTCCTCCTTCATCCCTTCTCCTTCTTCTTCCTCTCCTCTTCTTCTCCTCTTCTCCTCCTCCCCCTCCTCTCCTCCTCTTCTTCTGTTCCTCTCCCCTCCTCTTCTTCTCCTCCATCTCCCCTTCTCCTTCTTCCTCTCCGCTCCTCCTCTTCTTCTCCTCCTTCTCCCCTTCTCCTTCTTCTTCCTCTCCTCTTCTTCTCCTCTTCTCCTCCTCCCCCTCCTCTCCTCCTCCTCTTCTTCTGTTCCTCTCCCCCTCCTCTTCTTCTCCTCCATCTCCCCTTCTCCTTCTTCCTCTCCTCTCCTCCTCCTCTTCCTCCTCTCCTCCTCCTCTTCTTCTCCTCCTTCTCCCCTTCTCCTTCTTCCTCTCCTCCTCCTCTCCTCCTTTTCTTCTCCTCCTTCTCCCCTTCTCCTTCTTCTTCCTCTCCTCTTCTTCTCCTCTTCTCCTCCTCCCCCTCCTCTCCTCCTCCTCTTCTTCTGTTCCTCTCCCCCTCCTCTTCTTCTCCTCCATCTCCCCTTCTCCTTCTTCCTCTCCTCTCCTCCTCCTCTTCCTCCTCTCCTCCTCCTCTTCCTCTCCTCCTTCTGCCCTTCTCCTTCTTCCTCTCCTCCTCCTCTCCTCCTTTTCTTCTCCTCCTTCTCCCCTTCTCCTTCTTCTTCATCTCCTCTTCTTCTCCTGCTCCTCCTCTTCTTCTGTTCCTCTCCCCTCCTCTCCTTCTCTTCCTTCTCTCCTTCTTCTTCTTCCTCTCCTCTCCTCCTCCTCTTCCTCCTCTCCTCCTCCTCTTCCTCTCCTCCTTCT